CTCTCCTCCCCTTTTAGACCGAAACCAATTGTGAAATGTATCGTGCTGTTATGGAGGAGGTTGCTCGCTTCTTTGAGCGCTATCAGCAGCTGCAACAACAACAACAACAACAGCAGCAGCAGCAACAGCAACGGCAACGTCAACAGCAAGCGAATCGACACAGTTTGGGCGGTTTGGGGGAGCAAATCTCGCGCTCAAAGAGTCTGCATCATGTGCAGGGCGTGCAGAGCGATCCGAATGGCTGCCATGTGGATGCAACTGGCGACAGCAACTGCAACAGCAGCGCTGTCTCTGCCACGCAGTCTGCCTCGTATATGCGCGCGCGCAGCAGCACAAATTTGATGCTAAACAAATCGATGCTGACGATGAACGAGGAGCACGGCTACGAGAGCGTTGCGCCCGCCGGCAGCTACAATGCCTTCAAGGACTTTACCTGGTAAGAGAGCGACTGTGCCTGGAGTGAGTTGAATATTCATGAATCTAACCCATCTGCCCCAACAGGCGTCGCTCACCCAAGAAGCTGGGCGGCTGCAAGTCGCGTTTGTCTTCGCCCGAGGCGGCCGAGGAGAAGCTCAACCAGGAGGCATTTCGTCTGGCGCGCACCATACGCAATCTGTTGCACACATCGCAGCAGCAGCCGGATCTCACGATGCTGCCACACGGCTCAGCTGCGGGCCAGAGACTCAGAAACCAGAGCCAGAAGAGCAGCTCTGCGTTGACGCTGATGCCGGCGCCGTTGCACAACTCAACTAGCCTGGATGCACCAGCTGACAACAACAACACCACCACGACAAACAACCCCACCAGCGCCACCAATAACAACAACAGCCCCACCAGCAGCACCACTTCGTCTGCTGTTAGCCCTGAGCTGCTCTTCTTGCGCGCCAATACGATGCGAGATTCTCGTCTATCGCTGCGCAGCTCTACCGATAGCTCTGTGCATTCCACCATCTCCTCGACGGCCTCGTCCTCATCGAAAATAGAAACCGATGAGGAGAACAACACGGCCAGCAGCAACAGCAAGCAGAGCCCAACGACTGTCCCGAACAATCAGCACAATGGCTCCAGCACAGAGGATGAGAGCGGCTTCAGCTCGATTAGCTCGTTCCATGATGTGGGTCTGCCACTCAGCTCCACCTTGTTAGGTGGCAGCAGCTGCCGTCTCTCGCTCTCCACAGAGAGTCGCAACTCGACGCTGAAGTCGGCGCTAAATGGGGTGGGCGTGCCACTGCAGCCCCAACACTCGCCCAGCAGCAGCACCAGCAGCACCTTGAACTGCCAATCGCCAGCGAAGACCTACCGCAATGCGAATCGATATCAGCGCTTCTCTACGCTCTCCAACGAGGATGCAGCCGCTGTGCTCTGGGTCTAGGCTATACGCATTTCGTACACCCAAATAAAATTAAGTTTTAGTTATTGTTTTTCCCTTTCGCTAGTGCCTCTCGTTTAGTTTGTAGCCGTTCCTTAATGTTTAAAATTTGTGTACTTTATTCTAGTAATGTTAATGTTTTGAAAATGTATTTAGTTTCAGTTTCTTATCATTACGAACTTCGCATTTTTAAATTTAATTTTTTGTAAAGTTTTAACTTAAGTTTTGCAGTATTTATATAACTTGCAGCTAAAAATAAATATAAAACTAAAGCTACAAAAGTGTTTGAAATGTATGCGAAAAGCAAAAGGCCTCTCGCAAAAAATGTAAAAGATTCTGTTATGTTAAGTCAAATGAATAACATGAGTGAATAACAGACTCTCTCGTTCTCCTTTCAACTACCTACTCTGCTAATAGCTTAGCTTATAAAGTGCAGCCACATTCTGCTGCAGCTAGCAATAGTGTCATCTCGCTCGCTCTCAACTTTCTTCTTTGTTAACTGACACTAATTTC